CCATGTACTGCAGAGGCACCTACTTTTATAAAACAACTTAAGCTTATATATTTRAGCCACATGCTAACTCACATGTACAAGCTGCAGGCCTGACCGTAGCCGGCTGCTACAGCCCACAGCCTGTAGGCCTCTGTGGTGACCCCGAGGGCCTCGCTCTGCTCCAGCAGCAGGTCGCTGGGCTCTGCGCTCAGGAGGCACAACAAACGCTCCTTCACTCCCAGAGAGTTCAACTGAGAACGAAGACCAGAAGAGAAATTATTCAAACATCCTACAGGACAGAGAAAACACATTTAAAAGGTGTAATAAAGTTAATAAACAGTAATAAAGTCTGTTGTTTTTTTAATCTATGACTAGAAGCACTCATTTTATATAATATTTATTTTTAAATGCATAATCTACTGATAAAAAAAGAGATGTTTAACCTCCTCAGCTTAATATTTCCCACTTGAAGCAGAACGTGTCAGAAGAATTAAAAACAATGTACCAGTCTGGCGCAGGCATGTCTGCCAGAGGTGGCTATAACCCTCAGTAGCTTCATGGCGCAGGTCAGCGGGTGTCCGTAAACAGACTGGGGACTGAGCGACGACGTCCAGGACGTGGGGAGGAACTCTGACATCACCGTGTCCATCAGTCGAGGACAGTCCAGCACCTGGAAGCAGAAGCAGAGGATAAAACAAAAACTCCAGTGAAAGAAACGGTGGGTTCATCTGTGCAAACGCTGTTACCTGAGTGGAGGATGAGGAGGAGTGTCGGGCGATCCGAGTCAGGACCTGCAGGATGTCCTGAACCACGCGGGGCGACGGTCGGARGACCTCGAGGATGTAGCGCAGCCTGGGGAGGAGCTTCATCTTCAGCAGACCCTTAACGACATCCTGCCTGCTGARGTCGTGATCACTCTTCTTCTCTTCCTTTTCCTTGGCGGTCTCCTTCATGACTTCATCCAGCCCTTCGTCCTCGTCATCCTCATCCTCTTGACACGAAGGCAGCATGGGGAAAGAGGCCATCCCTCGAAACCAGGAGAAGGTGGAGTCCAAACACTCCTGAAACAAACCCGGGACACRCAGGAGAAGTTGCTCCGTTTCTATATTTATTACTGTTAAAAAGACAAAACTGTGACACTCGAGTCATCTCACTTCATCTTCATGGCACACGAGGAGGGCTTTGAGTGCGTGCACGGCTGCAGACATCACTCCCTCCACGCTGTCGTCCAGAGCGAAGCGGAGCAGGAAGAGCAGGCCGGCGTCCAGCAGCGTGGACGTCACGCTGCCTTTCAGAACCGACTGGTACCGTCCAGCCCGAGCCTGCAGGAGGAGGGACGAGACAGAGTCACCCTGACTGACTGACCGTCTTAGCCTTACTCTACATCAGGGCTATTCAACTGGTGGCCCGTGGACCACATCCGGCCCGCGAGTGACCAAAATGTGGCCCGCCAATTGCTTCATTGATCTTTTAAGTCCAAACCTCCGGTTTTCTYCTTTAAGTTATTTTAGCTAGACATAGAKATGTTTGGTGTCTACAGAAACWTCAGAAACTTGGCTAGAAGCTGGTAAAAACTATTTCTATGAATATCTAAGACAGGTAAAACTACAAGCAGTTGAATATAAAACTATGAAAGTGAAAATAAAATTGGTTTAAAAATTTGGCAGGTCAAATATGTCAAAACAATATTTGTGTTAAATAGGAGGCAGAATGTGTTTTGTTTTTGATATTGTTTTATTATCACTACATTCATTACATAGGGTTCTGTATTTTGTATTCAATTCAATTCAATTCAATTCAAAAATACTTTACTGATCCCAGAGGGAAATTAGGTGTTGTTGTAACTCATTTAAGTAAAAACTTATTGTAGATGCTGATGGCTGTGGGCAGGAAAGATCTTCTGTAGCGGTCGTAGTATTTGTAGTATTTGTAGTATTTGT